CTACCTCTCCTACCTTGCACATGTGCAGGTTTCATGCATTGCTACTTGTTTCAAAGAGCAACAATGGTGAAAGCCAATAGTTTCAAGTTCTTACTATAATAGAGTTTGGGCCACTGGTCCATGAATATTTTTTAAATGAATCAGTTTACCATAGGCCACGAAGTACAAGATGACCTTTTTTTAAGCACAACAATATTTCTGAATATACTCAGCATAAGTCAAGCGTTTTTCAGCCATGATATGTTGCACTCATTAGTAGTCAGCCTCAAATGCTTTAAAACAAATAGCTGCTTTACTTCCCAGCACCTCAGACAGCATGGGATCAAGCAAGCCATGCTGCAATGATATTCCAGTTTTTTTTTTAAAGAAAAGGCATATCCTCTCATGGTGAATAACAAAGATGGAGATCATCCCACAGCAGGCATTCACTTTTCGACATCAGATTTGAGAGAACTTGTAAGGGATTCTGCAATTTCAAATCGTTGATTAATAGGAGAACATCTAAGGTACAATATTCACCTATGTTCTTCATTATTTTCCTCTGCTGAACCTATGTTACTTGACAACTGCATCTTTAACTCATGAAGAAATTGTTCTCAGTGATTCCTAATGATCAGAATCATTTTTATTGGACTCTGTACCTTCCTATGATTAGATGGCTGGATGAAATTTTAGAATCTGGCCAAACACCTTATACAGAAATACATCTCAGCATAGTTTGTTGCTTTTTTGTTTTAAAAACTGCAGCCCATCACCAATAATTATTCACAGCACCCTCCACCTCCCTGAAGCTCCTGTCAATTACCATGCACTCCAGTCTCCATTTGCTTCCTTCTTTCATCTTAACCATATATTTTAATTCCTCTTGGCCGAATGTACCAGTTACTCACCAATACTTAAATTATCTGGTTGCATTGCTTTGAGCATCGAGAATCAACAAATGTTGCTTTCAATACAACACTCAAGGTAAAAGCAATAGTAACAATATAATCACAGAATTGTTACAGCACAAAAGGAATCCATTCATTCCATCAATGCATCAGCTCCCCAAATGAGCTATTCACTTAGTGTCATTTCCCTGCTTTATCTCCGTAACTCTGCATGTTGTTCCTTTTCAGATAACAATCCAGTTCCCTTATGAATGCCTCTATCATGCTCAGTCAACACATTCCAGCTCTCAACTACCTACTGCATGAAAAAGTTTCTCATGCCTCAATTAATCACCTTAGATCTGTGCCCTGGCTTTTGATCTTTTTATCAATTAGTAGATTAATACATTACTCTAACCTCGGGACCTATGCTTCAAATACAGTCAGAAAACAGATTATCTCCATCTAGACTGACTGCATAGGTCTTACCGGGGGGGGGGCGGTCGTGGTGGTGAAGAGAACAAGTCAGAGTAGTCTCAAATAAATTTTTACAGTCTGCGTACTCCGAGATAATCTACAGGTCAATTTTGGAAAGAGAAATCTGTTAAATGAGACAATTGAAACGATCACTTCTAAAAAAAAGTTTGTGCAAGCTCTAGTAAACGTTAAATCCCCATTTCATCCCAATGGGATGTGTCTGGAACATTTAGGATAAATTGTAAAAAAACTGTCCTTTCATTTGCATTTTTAAATGACTATCAAAATAGAAGCCTGAAATATCTTCAAGTGCCTTCAGCAAAAATAGTCAAACGGAGAATATAACTGCTTTCTCCTGAAGTCTGCACTACATATCCAGCCAACCAACAAGCAGTTGCGTTCACCAAATAAAACGAAGGTCCAAACCTACGAATTGTCCTGATTATTTTAATTAACTCCACACTAAAACTAATGAACCCAAAGGCGAGTGTTTTCGGTGCAACTATGACATTGGTTTAATCCTGCTCCTACTTATGATTTGCACTATTGAGTAGATGCCAAACTGTCCATCAAATCTATTCCACCATCTAATTAGATCATAGCTATTCACACTACAACCTTAATGCCATGTTCTTGTGCACTGCACCCTCCTGCCTAAAAGTCCTCTATTCCCTTATCAAGCAAAAACAAACAGTCCAACTCAGCCTTAAATATATTTAAACGACCTGGACTCCATTGCTCTCTGTAGAGGAGAATTTCAAGAATGACTCTTTCATCTTGGTCATAAATGGAAGACTCTTACTTTTAGACCATGCTCCCTACATTTAGACTCACTCACAAATAAGAAACATGTTCTCTGCATGTCAATCTTCCTCAGGATTGAACATTTCCTCATGAGATAAACACCTTCATCCCAGATTATAAGCCTACAGAACCTTCTCTGAACAGCTTTCAAAAAGCAAGCATATCCTTTCCTCAAGTAAAACAATCAAAAGTGGACATAGTACTCTAGATGTAGTCTCACCAATGCTGTACAGTTTTAGCAAGAGCTCCTTACGTTTATACTCCATCTTTGCACATTCAAGGTCAACATTTTGTTATGCCTCACTGGGGTAACACGCTGGAAATTCAACCTTGCTATTCCAGAAGTCATTACAAAAGTGAAGTGATTTTATATAACATGCAAAATTCCTTATTTTACCAGTCTTTTAGACTCAGGTTGACAGAAAGCAGGGACGAGGTTACCACACACAAAAACTATTACAAATAAACAAGTTCTTACTACAGATAAATAATTATGAAGCATCCTCATAACCGTAACCCACTTAGAAACCTCAACACACACACACACACAAAGAATGGGTGTTATGGATAGAAGCAAAAACTGGGAAGGCAGTTCAGCAGATCCTGTCTAGATTTTCACGAAGATAATCCTTTTGCCCATCAAAATGCTGCTTCGTGGTCTTCCTTTGCCAGATACTTTTACTTGCTTACATGAATTTCATGGTAAAAGCCAAGGATGGCAGAGGATGGCTGTTTGTATGAGTGGAGGCTGCTGTCTATGGTGCATAGATGATAAGAACAGGGAGATATGTTGAACAAAACCTTGGTTAGGCCATAGGTGAAGTTGTGCACGCAGTTCTGGTCACCACACTATAGAATGGATGCGATTACACTGGAGGATATACAGAAGACATTCACCAGGGTTTGTCTGGGATGTAAAACTTTAGCCACGAACACAGGGTGGGTATGCTCGGGTTGTTTTCTTTAAAGCAGAGAAGGCTGACAGGGAATCTGATAGAGGTATTTAAGATTACAAGGGGCACGGACAGGGTGACTAGGAATCAGCTGTTTCCTTTAGGTGAAAGGCCAATAACAAAGGGCATACTTTTAAGGTGAACAGCAGGAGATTTAGGAGGAGTTTTGAGGAAAACCATTTCATCCAGATGATGTAAGGAATCTGGAATGCACTGCTTGGAGGGTAGTACAGGCAAGAAACCTCAACTTTTAAAGGCTGTGTGCCAAGTGCTGGAAAGTGAGATTAGTGTAATTGGCCCATCAAGTCTGCACTGACTTAAAGGGCTTCTTCTGTCTTGTATGAGGCACAGGTTCACTTTTTATAAAGCTCTTAACTTGTTAAATAAATGTGACTGACAAGATCAACAGATGATGGGAAATAAACTGGCTTTCAGGCCTGAAATGCTTTGAACCAGAGCAAAGTGAGCTCCTTCTCTTCCAAGATACGGCTTCTGCCCTGAATATTCGCATCCCAAGCTGTTCAGCTATCCGAGAGCTATTCACGTAGTTGCTGGCAGGTCATTATAACTGGTCACCATTTCACCAACCAATCAGCTACTTGTTGCTAGCCAACTATCTCTGGACCACATCTGCAACCAATTTCCCCCCCCCCACACCACTGCTTGCACAAAACAGCCATGTAAACATCACTTATGAGTGTCAGGCAACTTGCTTTTATAAAATGCAGCAATCCTTCAAAAATCCTTGGCCTTTAAAATCAGTAATTTTCGATTTCAGTCTGTAATCAAAAATATAGTAAAAGGTACCGTCTTTATAATTTTATTTGCCTTCTTAATTACTTGTGGAAAATTACCCTATCCATACTTCGCACACAAATCTAAACTGCCAATCACTGTTTTATCCACCTCTCAGTAAATTAAGACAATTGTGGAATTTATCAATTTTGTCATTAAATCACACCTCAGTAATAACCTTCTCACCCACGCTCAGTTTAAGTATCAGGTTAACATTGCTTTACACTTTATTACAGCCTGGAACTGTACAGAAGAGCTGAGAGGTGAGATAAAGTAGGTAGCCTCAATGCAAAGGTAGTACTCGACTGACTATGATAAAGAACCTTACAAAAATTGAAGTCAATTGAAATAAAGAGGGAATTCCTTAAACTGTTGGACAGATGTGTGGCAAAGGCAACAAGTGGTGAGAAATCAATCACAGCCCATTGTAAGAATTCTTAGCCCAATCTTTGAACTGTTCACTAAGCAGCTGGCAGAGTAGCTTATTCTTCGAATTTCAGTATGAACTCACTTTCAACAGGCAAGACATAGATGGTTTCATCTTCAGAACATTTAAAGCCTCATTTATATGGCTCAAAGATGACGAAATACTCATCCACATTCAAGAAACTCAACATCATGAGGAAGAAGTTTACCTAACTGACATTCTTGCCAGTGGAGTAAAATATCAAACCCCTTCAGCACTTGACCATTCCAACAACATTGTTGTTGCAAGACATACAATAACAATTCACCAAATTTGCTTTGTCAGCACCAAACCCCAGAACATCAATAATCAAGAAGCACAGAGGCAATATCATCTAGAAGTTCTTTGATCATAGGTACAAAATCTAAAAGCACCTAGAGGGCATCATCACAAATATCAGAAAGACGTTTGCGATTACTTTGAGAGCAACAATGGACGAACAATAAAAGTGACACACAGTCAAAACCTCAACAATACCGAATTTTAATTTAAAAACTTTTTATTTCAAACTTCATATCCTTTGCATGACCTTTATAATTCTCAACAACTCAATGCATGTCTGGGTATATTATTTTCTACCCTTTTTTCAGATCTGTAAATAAAAGATCCTTGTATCCAACGATCCTTTTATCTTACCTTGTTAATCATATTTAAAGTGCATTCGAAGACAGCATCAAATATCTGAGGAATTTCAGAAGTGATATGTCCACCCAGTTTATTCACAATGGTTGCCATTGTGCTAAGTACTTCTGGTTCTCTAGCAGCTGGCACATTCCTCTGGTAATCAATAAGCACTGCATCCAGCAATGGAGGAACAAAATTTTCACCAACCTACAATAATTAACATTATAAAATTAACTTTTTCACAACAATAGGATAGTTTAAACAGTAATAATACTTGAAAAGAAAGAATCAGCTGTCAAGTCTTATCTCCACCCTAGTTTGTCAAATGTACAATTTTTTTTGTTAGTGTTTTTCTCTCAAGTAACCACAATTGCACAAAAAAATTAAACTCAGTATGCATTGTGTCATTGAAAACTTCTACGTCAACTTCCTCCAATGGAAGATTCCGATGTTTAAGTGTCCACATTTAACCACTACACCAGTAGTTTTCATTGTGATGACTTCTAATGTTAAATGTACTGCAGCTTGCTTGTTCCAAAACACCTTGGATGTTGATATCAGTCTGTTACATTAGGCTTGCTGTGAAGTCTGGGCAAACTAAGTGTGCATACAATTATAGACTTTAGCTACCAAGTGCTGCTGTAGAGATGTTCTGACACTGTGGGCCATGCAAGCCTGTCAGCCACTCTTTTTTTTTTTAATAAATGGAGTGATTAGTATGAATATTAAGATAGCCAGCTACACATGAATGGAGATACCAGTCACTGGCGATAGATGTCCCCGAGCCAAAATGAATCTGCACACATGTGGCTGACGTCATTACATTCTGTAATAACCTCACTTTAGGCCCATTTGTACATATGTAGCCAATGAGGTTCAAATGCTGAGTGCACCGACTGTTTAGCTGGGCAGCTCCACTATGGCTGGGGACAGACAGTACAGGCTCAATCTGGACTGGGGAAGTGGGGAGGGGAAAGGAGTGCTGACAGCACTGAAGACTTTCCACCTACTGGCATTCAGCAATCACTATTTCACTGAATGCCAGAAGGCTGGTCGCATAGTCTATCCTTCTCTTGGATTGCATAGCACTGGTAATTATATAGCATTGCCAGGTAGAATTTGTCTGCCTGTTCCTTTCGCCACCTAGAGGCTGGGTTCTTTTGGCAGCAATTTATAACTCTCACTTCAGCTATCCTGGCTGACGGAACTCCCCTCCTGGCTGTTTCTTTGACATTTGTACAGTTCCTCATTGCAGGCAATCTTCAATTAAAACTTGGCTAATTGTAATAACGTTACTGAGAACATAATAGAAACAACTTTCATAACCATTCTTCTGCTGTATGTCAAAAGTGGCCAGCTTTCCTTTGTAGCTGAATTGTATGTTAATGTTAATAATTGATCATGAGCAAATTAAAAATGAGCAGAAGGCATGATTTAAAAAGGAAAAATTACAAATAAAATTTCAGGATTGAGATAATCAGATTTTAAATTATTGTCCCAAAGAAATGAGGAGAGATTTGTTGCTGACATGAAACTAACTGCAGTTGAACAAGGTAAAGGTAGTGTAATAATAGCCAAGTCATGCATATAAAATGCAAAAGTCATCAAGTTCACCAACGTGAGACACACGAACAGGAACCAAATCAAAGGGTTCATTCAAGATCAAGATCTTTATGGCAAAAATCAAAAAAATAGAATTAAGGAGAATAGAATAACACCAGGCTGACCAATAATCCTATAAGCTCCATGCCCAGTCACTCCCACCAACCTGACCAAGTGAAATTTGCAGCCTGAAATTTCATCCCCGTACCAAACAACTGATTGAAGCTCAAGCCCAGCATTCCTCACCGCTCTCAACAAACTGATACACAAACTGAGGTAGCGGCCCAAATAATTCTTGCCTCAAATTGGCTGAACCTTGGGCCCAGTCCAATAGACACTTTCCTCACACAAGTGAGCAAAGTAATAGCTTCTCAGAACCTGCTTCAACGTCGTCAAAGTCTCCTTCATGCCGAGGGACTGGCCAAAATAACTCCTCAAATACAGGTTTCCTCTGCCCCATGCTTGCATCTCCAATCATTGATTTTGTCTCAAAGATAGTAAGAACTGCTGATGCTGGAGTCTGAGATAACAGTGTGGAGCTGGAGGAACACAACAGGCCAGGCAGCATCAGAGGAGCAGGAAAGATGATATTTCGGGTCGGGACCCTTCTTCAGAAATGGGGGGAGGGGAGAGGAAGGGGGCTTCAAAATCTTCCCATCCCCAACCTCATCCCAAGACCAGCACGCTCCATCCCCGCCTCATTGACCTGTCCATCTTCCCTCCCACCTATCCACTCCTCCCACCTCACTAACCAATCCCCACCACTACCTACCTACATTCACCTTTACTAGCTTCATCCCCACCTCCTTGACCTGTCCGTCTTCTCTCCCACCCTATCTGCTCCATTATCTACCTGCTATCACTGCCCCCCTATCAGAGCCCCTTCCCCTCCCCCATTTCTGAAGAAGAGTCCCGACCCGAAATGTCAGCTTTCCTGGTCCTCTGATGCTGCCTGGCCTGCTGTGTTCCTCCAGCTACACACTCCTATTGATTTTGTCTCAATGGGTGGCAAAATTGGGAGAAGGCAACTGTGAATGGGGAACAGCTTCTTTCAGATTCTGCTCATGTGCAGGGACCTATTGGTCATCCTCATGATTCATATTCTCCCCTCCTGCCCCATCCCAGGGTTTTCAGGAAAAGAATTTACCTGTCATCCCAATGTATTTACATTCACTCCCTCTAACCCAATTTTAGTCCACTTGCCCCCAAGACTAAGACTGCTACAGTCAAAATGCTTTCATGACAAAAATTGTGAATGTGATTAACTGATTGTGTTTACAGACCTTTTCAGAAATTTACTGACAACAGCTGAGAAATAGATGGCAGATGAAATTGAATATGAAAGAATGAAGTGTGACAGCTGTACAGCCAGTGGAGTTCTACATACTTTAAAATTCAAATTCTATAATGTGATATTAAAATAGATTTTAATCTGTGGGTATAAAAAGGGAATGAAGGAAAGGTTTTTGGGGGGTGGGGGGGGAAAAGAGTGTAAGAAAGAGGAAAAGTGGGTAGATGGTGGAGGGAGGCAAGAAAGAGAGGGGGAGGGGCAAGAAGAGAATTTATTTGCAATGCAGAGGTTTCTATGAGCTGATAGAATAAACATTGGACATGATTATCTTGCTTTCAGTTAGAACAATCAGGGATTTTTTTTTGCTGAAGGGAAAAAAACCCATAGCTTGGGAAATAATTTCAGTTTGGAAAATACTGGTTGACATCAGATGCAAGAAACAGTTTTTCCAAGAGGAGTTAATTCACAGAAGTTAAGAAATGGGTTATCCCAGTGAAAGGGTGTGAATTTGTTAAGTTCCAGATCAGAAGAAATGTTTGGTTAGAAGAGTTATTAGAAGCTGAAAAAAAACCTCAGCTTAGTTGTGCGAAACTCAAGATAGAGACTTTCAATCTTTCAAGACTGAGAATTTAGAGCAGTTAAATCAAAACTACAGATATGATAGGGATATTTTTCTCATGTTTTTAAAACTGTAGAGGGATGTTGTTGGGCTAAATGGAAATTGTATTTATAATTCGGTTTTGAAATCTTTCAAACTGTGTTGTATGTAAACGGCTAGATTTATTAACTTGTTTTCTTATTAAATTATAGAACAAAATATGATCCAGCAGGCAAGATTTGTCTGGGATGAGAACTGTCCGATCATAAAAGAGGCGGGATCATAAGAGGCGGGATCATAAGAGGCGGGATCATAA